TAAACATTTCATATTTAAGTTAAAAATAACATAAAGGTTATAAATTATCCAGGGTTATTTCCATACCGAGATAAATTTAATGTTTGATTCTCTACAACAATGTTTTCTTAATTATTGGTTTGCTTTTAGTATCTTTTTACTAAATGAACATTTAAAAATCCATAATTAAATTTTAGTTTTTTCATGTTTTCCCATTGGATGAAACCCTTGTTTTTTGAATAATCAGTCATTGTTTTCATCATAAAAACATTCTCTTTAGAGGGTGATGCCTACTTAGAATATTTATACTGTTATAATGCAGAATGTTAATCTGCATTAAACTGTGTTAAATCTGTTTGTAAGATTTGGTCTATTAGAGAAACATAACACATAGCATGGTAAAATACTCAACGATGACAACTAACATTCAAAATTAGTTACAGAGTCTTCTTCAGAGGATAAAAAACTAGATTATTTCACCAGCTTAAAAAAAAAAAAAGACATCACACTGAAGACTCCATTCTATTTAAAAAAAAAATCAGGACTGTGTCCAGGGACTTCTAACTCACTTCTAAGAGGCTGTGAACTTTCTCACATCATCTGGTAGCACGTTCATGTGGGCTTTGAAAATTCTGGGCACTAATCTTAAATGTCACTGACCATCAAGTACTCCAAGTGACTGACATTTCTCTCACCTTCACGTTTCTTAAATTTTTTTTTGTGATTAGATCTTAAAATTTTGTTTATGACATCTAATATTCTACCTGATATATTTCTAAATGATAAAATAATACTAATCTTGGTTTTAATGAAAATATAAGGTCTAAATGAAAATATTATCTCCTTACATTTGGTTATGCCTTTTTGTTATAACTGTTTCCTTAACCTAAACCCCTGCCTTATTCAAAATTAATATATAAAAGATTCAAGGGTTTTCATTAAATACAATTTAATTAAAACAAAAAAATATAGCTTTTAAATTAAAATTTAACTCCACTTACTTTCACTAGAGATACCCAAATATTTGGGTTAATTCTTCTTATCCAAGTTATGCAAAACACATCAATTTCTAATAACAGCATTCAACCTTAAATACTGATGTTTCTTGATTTAATTAGTATCTAAAATGTCCTATGGGACAATTAAAAAATTAATTAAACAATATTCA